GGCGGAAGCTTTATTTTTTCCTATATATATTTATATACAGGGTGTTCCTTAATGATATGCGAATATTAAAGGGTGTGAATCTACATGAAAAATTAATGTTAGTTTGCTTCAGTTTTAGAAAAAACTGGAAATTAAGAACCACTTCAGATATTTTAGTGATATTTAGTACGCAGTAAAAGTTAATAAAGTTGCATATTTTTCAGTGCAAAAATAATTTTTAGCTTTAACAGTGGCATGCGTACGAGTATTGACTTCGATGTTTTTCAAGAAAAAAATGGCACCCCATTGGTTTTTTGCCAAATAAAAATTATTTAAAACAAATGATCTCTCTTGAGTTGCTTTCCTTCGATGTCCCATTTTTTTGTAAAAAAATAAAGACGGTTCTATGGTCTAACTTGCAAAATTATTATTAATTTAATTGGAAAAATTAAACACACAGGGGTAGTGAAAAACAACTGACAGCATAAAAATAGCATCAAAACGAACGAAATGATTAAAAAAATTGTTGAAAATGGCCCCCTTCACTTAGTAAGCATGCTTCCGCCCCCCTTCTCATGGAATTGCGCACTCTTCGGAATATCCCTGGAGTGTTTTTAATCTATTACAAGCTGCAACTATTCTTTCTCTGAATTCCTCTACAGTGTTAATGGGACTTGTGTACACTAGTGTCTTAAGATAGCCCCACAAAAAAAAATCTAAACTGTTGAGGTCTGGGGACATTGCTGGCATTTCTTGGGGCCCACCGCGGCCAATCCAACGATTTGAATAAACAGTTTGTAAATAATTACGAACCGCTACACTGAAATGCGCTGCTGCACCATCATGCATGTACCACATATTGTTTCTCATTACTAACGGAACATCATCAAGCAACAAAGGCAACTGTGGTTGAAGAAAATTGGGGTAAGTCTGTCCGTCAAGTCGTCCCGGCAAGAAGAATGGGCCAATAAAGTGGTTGCCAATAATTCCTGCCCAAACGTTAACCGATAATAATTGGTGTTGGAAATGGGTTTCGGTTACGGCATAGGGATTTTCTTCTACCCACAAATAATTATTGTGGAAATTCTGAATGGCATTTCGAGAAAAATTAGCTTCGTCCGTGAACAGAATCATTGATTCAAATTGCAGATTTTGTGCAATTTTTGAAGATACCACTGACAAAAGGCCACACGCCTTGGAAAATCATTGGGAAGTAATGCCTGTACTCTTAAAATATGGTAAGGATATAACAAAAAATCCACTACAATTCTCCAAACAATTTGATGGCAAATATTTAAGTGTCTAGCGATCTGCTTCCTCAATTTCAGGTGTTCTCACACTTAGAGGTCTGCCTTCAGATGATCCTTTTCGGGCAGAACCAGTTTCAACAAGACGACGATGAATATTAGAAAAGGTTCGACTATCTGGTAAAGCGCGATCGGGATATCTCTGGTGATAAATCCGTCCGACTTGCTCACCATTACCGTCGGCAAGGCCATATACGTAATGCATTTCCGCCATTTCTGCATTTGAATAATTCACCATTATTAACAAGATTGTAAAACTAAATAATGAAAAAGATGTCACAGCGAACAGATTTGTCTAATAGAGACTTGTCAGATGTCAAAAGCCAGTCACATATTAAAGAGCAACTAGATATTTATTGTTAAATTGCATTCTTCAATTATTACATTAATTTTCTCGGACAATAGAACGAGTTTTATTTTTTTACTCCAAAAAGGCTCATCGAAGGAAAGTAACTCAAGCGAAATCATTTGTTTTAAATTGAATGGGGAATTCAAAAATAATTTTTATTTGGCAAAAAACCATTGGCGTACCATTTCTTTCTTAAAAAATATTGAAGTCAATACCCGTACGCACGCCACTGTTAAAGCTAAAAATTATTTTTGCATTGAAAAATATGCAACTGTATTAACTTCCACTACGTACTAAATATCAGTCAAATATCTGAAGCGGTTCTGAAAATATTAATTCATTTCCAGTTTTTTTCCTAAAACTTCAACACCCCGAGTTTTTGTAAGGATTTTTGGACCATGGTTTATGAGGCAAACTAACATTGATTTTTTATTTAGATTCACACCCTTAAATATTCGCATATCATTAAGGAATAGGAACAGTAAAGTTAGTAGTGGATCAACGGAAGTCAGGTGATAGAGGGTCTCAAAACATATGGAATGAACCCCTACATATCTGGTCCAAAGTTTGATAGTTCAGGGATATTTTCAATTTTGTGAAATTTCAAAAAAACGGGATAACTAACTTTCAATCTCAATTACAACTAAACGATTAGGTTTAGGGATGTGTTTTTGTTCTGAGATGAGCTGAATGGTTAGTTGTAGCAATGGTTATGTCACCTTTAACAGAACTTATTACAAATAAACGCAAAAAATCTTGAATTAATTTTTTTGTGAAGAATCTCTTCCATCCCTCAACTTTGGAGGGCGGTAACAAAATTTATGTTGTATTTCATCATTCATTTTATTGTCAAACTAGTTCAATCCAGAATAAACCCTGAAAAGTTTAGCTTGCTACGATGAATGGATCATGACTCGTTCGTTGTTGTGATGCGATAAACGTAAGAAACGCAATAGAAAACACCTACAAGTACAGAACCTATTGTGTTTAGCCGCTCTTTATGGCGATTTACCGACAAATGTGGAGGATAATTTATTTCATTTAACTAACTTTTAAAGAAGATGTTCGAAATGGCCTCCATTATTTTCTATACACAAGCGACACTTTCTAATAAAATTGTCCTTAAGCCTTTGAAATAAATGTCCGTTTTCCATAATTATTATTTTTGCTTTATCAATTTGCTGGCGCAGTTGGTTGACATTTGTATATTCAGATGTATGGAACTCCCATAAACAAAAATCTAAAGGATTTAAATCGGAACCATCGTATGTGTCCACCTCTACCTATCTAACGCCCAGGAATGTCACTGTCTAAGGAATATCGTACATCCCGTACAAAGTGGCATGGGGCACCAACGCATTGAAAATACATGCGGCTTCAAACGTCCAAAGGTACATCCTCTAGCAGCTCGTGCAAACTGCTTTGTAGAAAAGCAAGATATGACTGACTATTCAACCTGGAGGGCAATTCATATGATCCAATTAACTTTTTTTTGAGTACTCCAGCCCATAAATTAATGCCGAACTGACGTTGAAAGCTGTGTCGGCGAATAGCGTGTGGATTTTCCACGCTCCATGAATGAAAATTATGCATGTTGAATATTCCATTTCGATTAAAGTTGGATTCATCTGTCCATAAGATGCTGTCGAAAAAAGTTTCATCCGCTTCGCACCTTCTCAACATTTTCTCACAAAATCCTACCGGTTGTGCATAGTCGCTTGGAAGCAATTCTTGTACTTTTTGTACATGGTAAGGATGCATGTTCTCCGAGCGTAGTATTGTGCGCACTGAAGTATGGGATATGTTTCTGGTTCGGGTAATGACTCTGGTGCTTATAGAGGGATCCCTCTCGGCTGCTTCTATTATATCTTCTATTTCTACTGGGCGTATCTTCGGCGCTCCTAGCTGGCGATGAGTACCTAGTATGCGGCCCTCCATATACGTATTATGGACGCGTAGAAAAAGGCGGTAGTCGGGATATACCGCCGGTTGTGGCCCACCTCTTCTAACCACATATTCCCGATACATACGAGCAGCTGCTCGAGCATTTCCTAGGGCAGCACCACAATAGCAATGCATGTCTGCATAATCTCGCGGAGAATATCACATGATTCTACACAGATGCCAAACGTTAGATACAAGTTCCTCGCCGGACCATTGCCTGACCTAGTAATTTCAGTCGGACCGAAGATTGAGCGCTCCCGCACCTGGAATGCCAAGTTGAACGCCCAAGCTCATTAAGCTGATTGGGCTATTTGCGTAAAAAAACGCCATTTTGATTTTACAAAATGTTAATACACACAGTATCACCCGCACTGCTAGGACAAATGTAACAGTACCTCATATGCCAAATTCCATCAAGTGGTTTGGACTGTAGCTCGTAAAATAGCATTTCTTGTTTACATGTATAGAGACCCACCTGCGTCAAATATAGTTTTTTTAAGGTGAGGCACTAATCGTATCAAGCTGAAGTTTTCAGAGTTTATTCTACATAGATTGAAATAGTTTTTACAATAAAATGAATAATGAAATACAACCTCGCTGCAAACTTGAGGGATGGAAGAGATTTTTCACAAAAAAAGTATTTAAGATTTTTTGCGTTGATGTCTAATTATCTCTGTTAAAAAGTGACATAACTATTGCTAAAATTAAGCATTTTGGTCATCTCAGAAAAAAGATCGCAGCCCTGAAGATAATAGCTTAGTTGTAATTGCGACTGAAAGTTCATTATCTCGTTTTTTCCGAAATTTCACAAAATCGTAAATATTTCATGAACTACAAAATTTCGGATCACACATATAGGAGCTCATTCGATAGGTTTTGAGGTCCTCTATCACCTGACTTCCGGTGATCCACTACTAGCTTTGCACCCTGTATATATTAATTTGATAAGGAATATCGTATTGTAACATATTTTTGAAGATGTTAGAAGACTCTAGTTCAATCAAGGCGGTTGGGATGAAACCAGTTGCAGGACCCATTTTCATTTTGATAGACATTCCGTGCCCTGTTGCGACATTGCGGATACCAGCTGTTCAAACCCAGAACATATTGCAACTGGTTAGCTTAATACTGATTTGCTCTTTCCCCTTCCTGATTATAGTACCTGTGATGATTAGTTTAATAATTAAAACAAACGCTACGTCTGTTACTTAGTGGTAGACTAATTTAACAAACACGAAAAGTGATTTGGTGGCTTTAGGTTTATGGAATTGTTCAACATCTATACATTTTATGGCCTACAATTAAAAATTAAGGTTGACACCACTGCGAACCCACTATCGGAAGTCATAAAATGTATATTTTTGTAAAGCGATACCTTGGACTGTGTTAGAGTATTCGAGTGGACTGTATAGCGGCTGGTTCAAGAATGAAATGTGGTTGTCGCCTACCTTTGATCCGGTATTCTGTCTAATTCTGGTTCGTATTCCTGGCGAAGCGGTGATGCAGGAGCGTGCAGATTGCGGGTGTGAGCGGTTCTGACTATGCATTTGCTGCGTAGACACGTTGTCTCACTGTATGCAGTTGTGGGTATACGAGTATATGAGTCCACGAGATGCAAAACTCGCTAATCGACAAAAATTGAAAAAACTAGTTAAGCACGCCATCTTGTTCGTACAATATTTAATTAATATTTTACACAAGTATTTAGAGCAAACCTAGGTTTTTAACACAGGAAATCTGGCCCAAATATCATGACTTGATGCAAAACTCGCTTTATGCATTGACGCGTGCGATGCAATACTCTCTATTCGTAAGGCGTCCAATCACAACAGGGGATTTTACTCACGTGCTGAGTGACGAGCATCAGATGTTGGTTGTTCACTTGTGTGGTTTGAGTCAGTTGCGTTTTAGCGGTGTTCTGACTTGTTTGTTTAACTTAAAGTTTCCTATTTTTAAAAGTATTGAAATGGAAACAGAAAGTGAAATTTCTGCAGCCAATGATAGTGTTACTTTAGCGATACAACCTACTCCACAGAACATGTGTAGAAAGAAGATTACGACGGAAAGTAAAAGGCAGAAGCTCAAAAGATTGAGGTAGTAAAAACGACGTCGATTTGTTAGAATAAATTTTGTTATAAAACTGTATTATTTTAGGTACACTCCGACACAGTTACCGGAGTACCCGACCTGTGGACATAATGGCCAGCCGGGCAAACCGTATTATTGTACCACTTTAACAATGAGCCAAATTCAAGATTTTCATAGAAAACTGTATGCATCTAAGGAAAAATGTAAACAAGATAGTTTTATAATTGCAAGTTGTGAAGGCCAGAAGTGCAATAGATCGAAAGTGAAAAAGGAAAAAATCTCCATATTCTATTATGTGAGAACTTCTGCTAAAAAAATCCGTGTTTGTAAGACAGCATTCTTAAAAATCACCTCCCTTAGTAGAGACCGGATTGAGAGAGTCATGAAAAATTTTGTTTTAAAAGGGAATATGCCACGAGAAACAAGAGGAGGTGATCGCATCCTTAATAAAAACGATAATAAAAAGTTGGCAATAAAACATTTTATTGAATCTCTCCAATGCGTAGAGAGCCATTACTGTCGAAGTAAAACCAGTACTCGTGTTTATTTACCATGTGAACTTAATTTTACAAAATTATGGAAAATATACGAATCCAAAGTTCGAGATAACGAATTACATGTTAAATTGGGATTTTTTAGGACATACATAAATGCTAATTACAACATCGGATTCGGCACCCCAAAAACCGATTTATGTTCCACCTGCTTAAGAACCAAGGAAAAGTTGAAAACTAAAAATATTTCTAATTCAGAAAAGCAAATTATTATCACCGAGCAACGGGTACATAGACTCAAAGCAAAAGCATTTTTTACCTTACTAAAGCAGCCGCCAGAAAATACAGCGGTTTTTTCATTCGATTGTCAGAAGAATTTGCCTTTGCCGAAACTTCAGGATCAAGATAGTTATTTTAGTCAACAAATTAACTACTACAACTTTACAGTTATTCATGGATCATCGGCAGCACACTTGGTTCCAGAAAATGTTTTTTCTTATGTATGGACGGAGGTGGATTTTCCCAAAAACTCCAATTCAATAGCTTCAGCTGTCTGGGACGTACTGAATAAGGTTAACTTTCCCGATGAAATTGATACAATTCGCTTATTTGCTGATGGATGTGGGGGGCAAAATAAGAATATTATAATGATGACCATGCTTTCTGTTTGGTTGATGACGAAAGCTCCCCAGAACATAAAGTCCATTAACGTAATATTCCCCGTAGTAGGACATTCTTTTATACCACCCGATAGGTTGTTCGGAATGATTGAAAGAGAAGTGAAAAAGAAATCTGTTATTTCAAAACCTTCTGACTACGACCGTATCATAGCAAATAAATCGACAATCCGGAAGCTGGGTTTAGATTGGCAGGTGTACGACTGGAAAAATGAAGCACAATTAAACACTAAAACACCATCATCATGGCACTTTCAGTTTAATAAGGCTAAAAGGTTTGTGCTTACTAAAGGGAAAAATAATGCACTAGTACGAGGCGAGCCCAATTATTGTGTTGACGTGGGCGAAGCAAAGTATGTTGTCAAGAGAGGAATGAAATTGACACGCATTAATCCTACTCAACTTCCTATTGGCTGCAAACTCAAAGGCGATAAATCGACAATAATTGCTCTCCTCAAAGAGCGGAAAACCAGACTTCTGTAAATGATGTTGAAGCTGGCTGCAGTGGTTTAAGACCGTGCGATATTACTCTATAAATTTAATGTAATCTATAAGTAACTAATTAGTTTTTTTGTGAATAAACTTTGTTCCAAACTATTTATGTCATATTTTTTGGTGCAAAACTGGCTAAATGCTTTCTTTTTTCTTCATTTATTTATTAAAACTGCAGAATTTTTTTAAAATACGTTCAAAGCTATTACAGATGTATATGCTCTGAAGGCAGGTTAACATTATTAATTGATTATTAACAAATTTAATTTAGGAAACGTTTTTCGCACTTTTCTCAACTTGTCGTTTACTGCATTAAGCGAGTTTTGCATCTCGTGGACTCATATGTTCGCACGGTATGCGGGTTGCGGCGTATCTGCTTGGTCTCTTTGTGAGCTAGTATCTTTGTTCCTTTTATTGTCCTAGCAGCGCAAGCGACAACTCATACTGACCTTAAAATAAAGTCAACAAAATATCCCTAACAGACTGCCCACCATTTTTGGTTGGTGAAAAGTTTTTCTATGCGAACTAGTACCCATTTCATAGGCGGCACATTATCCTGCTTCACAACCACCAACGCACCTACTTTAGGTTCAACACCTGGAGTATACCACTTTGCCTTTTGATGAAGAGAGTGGAGATACTCCTGATGCCATCGCAACCAAAAATCTTTATGTAAGCGTAAAAGTAATTGGTATCTATCTAAGCGATTGATATTTAAATTAGAAAAGTCAGGATCAGGTAAACAAGATAATGGATTCAACGTTAGAAAATGACCAGGGCTCGATGCCGTAAAGTCGTTGGGGTCTGAGCTCAAAGCTCACAGTGGCCTCGAGTTCAAGAGAGCCTCTATCTGAACTAAAACTGTATTCAATTCTTCATATGTCAAAATTTGCTATCCAATAACTCGGGATAAATGCATTTTGACGGATTTTATTCCAGCTTCGTAAATTCCCCCAAAATTAGAGGCATAAGGCGGATGGAAAGACTATTCATTTTTTTCTGTTTGGGCACAATCTTTCATAATTTTAAGCAGATAGTTGTTAGCGCCTGAAAAGTTAGTACTATTGTCGCTAATAATTTTTGAACATTTTCCACGTCTAGCTATGAATCTACGTAAAGCACATAGAAAATTCTCAGTAGAAAGATCTGATACTAGTTCGATATGTATGGCTTTAACAGCGCAACAGACAAATACGCAAATGTAAGCCTTGATGGACTTGGTGCCTCTACGTTTTCCGAAGGTAATAGTCAAAGGACCACCAAAATCTATCCCTACAGTAGTGAAAGATTTTGATTGAGTTACTCGATCAACAGGTAAGCGTCCCATAATGGGTTGAAATGGTACAGGTCGACTGCGCCAGCAAGTAACACAACGTGATACTAGTTTCTTTACAGCACGACGCGAAGTTAAAATAAAATAATTTTGAGCGACTAAGTATTGCATGGTTTTTAATCCTGGATGCAGGTTTTTAATATGCGTATCAGTAATAATGATATGCGTTAGAGGGCAATTCTGAGGCAGTAGAATAGGAAATATTTTGTCATAACTTATAAGTGAATTGTGTAGTCTACCACCAACTCTGAGAATTTCATTATCATCTAGGAAAACACCAAGTTTCCTTAGTGGTTTCGAAGCGATCTTATTGGCCTTTAAATTATAAATATTGACTTTGGGTGTGTTTGAGCAAAGCGTGCATTGCGTTCTTCAGACATGAAGCGGTCAGCGTAGATAAAATTTTTGTTTTGGGATTCCTAGCGTTATAAATAAATCTTTGAATATATGCAATAACTGATTGAAGTTTGCATAGTGATCAAAATTTGATCAAAAGCATATCCAATATGTTCGGCTCTACATTTGACATAACAGCGGTTTTTCTTTGTCCATTGTCCACACAGTGTGGTATGTTTATTGGAGAACCTGTGGTGGGCCAATGTGCATATGGATGCGACAAGAAATCAGGGCCTGCCCACCATTGTCCATAGTTTTTAAACTCCAAGGGCTGTAAACCCCGAGATGCGCAATCGGCGATATTATTTTCCGAAGACACATGATACCACTGAACATGGGGTAGCATTTCTTCAATGATAAATATCCTATTTGCATACAAATGCTTTCCATTTGTGCGGTGAGGAATTAAGCCAATATAAAACGATTGTAGAATCTGTAAATGCGAAAATATGTTTGAATAAAATTTTATTGCTATATGTGTCAATAGTTGACACAACAAAACTGCTCCTAGTAGTTGACATCGAGGTATAGAAACTTGCTTCAAAGGGTTCACCTTAGATTTAGCGCATAACAGAGAAGTCTGTATAGTGACTGCGTAACAATTCTGATAAAAAGTACGGATGAATGAGCGTTTGAGCTGGCATCTGAAAAAGCAGCTAAATCTATGTAGTTATACTGTTTAGGTAAAACTAAGCGGGGTATAGATATATCTGATAAACAGGGTAATTGATGTTTGTACTCTTGCCAAGTTTCCAATATTTCTTGGTTAGGAGTATCATCACAACCTAATTTTGCTAACCATAAATTGTGTATAAGTAATTTAGCAATCAAGGTTACAGGTGTCAAATAACCTAGTGGATCATATATGCGAACGATTTCACTGAGTAAATTTCTTTTCGTGTCCAGTACGTTCCGCGGATTTACAGAGTAAAAAAATATATCAGCGGAGGGATTCCATTTTTATCCTAATATCTTGATACTAGCTTTTGCTTCAGTGTCAAAAGACAAAGCGTAATTTGATGCTTGGCAGTCAAGTGGTAAATTATTTACAAATTCTTTGCTGTTGCTAGCCCATTTATGCA